TGGCCTGGACCATAATGCATGCATGCTGTCTCTATAGTCAATATAGACACCGTACCTTTGGCTTGGACCCCCACATGATCCAACTAAAGAGGTGGTAATGTATTAGGATCCAAATCCATATAGAGAAGAAATAATCCAATAAAATCCAAGGAAAACAATCTAATATCCAAATCGAATGTTAAATAATTAATGTCTAGTTAAATCGTATTACTTTTAAAATCCATATCATTCCAAGATGATCCAATAGTAGCAAAACTATTATATGTAACTTCGTGCATGTTGATCCGTGTCAAAAGCATGAGATAGCATGTGGGTATGCGCGCGCAGTGTGTTGAGCTCCCCATGCATGACCGCCGCTGGCGCGGAACATCGTCAGTCAACAGTCATACAGCTTCTGCTCCGCAGGCGCGGCGGAAGTATAAAGGCATGCATCCAGTATTCCAGTGTTTCTTTTTTTTGTGGGGGGGACAAGTATTCCAGTGTGGTCAAGGCCCTGCTGCTTGGTGTCCAGGATCGGATCGCGCACGCCGCATCGATCGAGAGCAGTGGTTACGCACCGCCTGGATCGGTCGCGGCGCGAGCGCTACGGTTGCCGGCCGGGCAGCTAATAAGCACGACATGCCCAGCGCCCCAGGGACCATGCATGAATCCGGCTGGATCGGACGCGCGGGGACCCGGTCGCGAGCACGGTGTCCGCCTGCCTCCGGGCAGGCACCTACCGGTGGCGCACGCTGCGCCTCTGCCTGCCTCGCGACGCGACAGCCGCATGTGTGACGTCGCCGATGCGTTCGACCACGTACACGCAACGGATATAGATGCATGCAAGTGTTGATCGATTTGATCCAAGGGCCTGTTCGGCTGATACATAAGTCGGCTGAAACTGTTTTGTTGTGGGAAAAAAATACTATAGATTTTAGCTGATAAATTCAAGCGAAGAGGGCCTTGGGCGGCAGCGTTGCCCACTGGCCAGTGGTCACTGCCGCTGTGCCGGGAGCCATGCATGCATGAATGATGAATGGATTATGCTGAATAATGAAGTCGTAGGGCGCAAGTTTGTGCCGCAGTTGCAGCAAAAAGCTGGTGTCCCATTATTATTATGTCTGTTTTTGTTTGAGATGTTGTATGTACCTGCATGCACTGCAGGGGTACGTCGTCGCTAGAACACACATGCATCCTCGCAGCAGACACACACCTATATGACCAGTGTGGGCCGGCGGGGGACGTGCGTGGCCGAAACCGAAACGCAGGGATTCAGAAGTCAGAACACATTTGGCAGAGAGAAAGTCGTCCACAGCTGCGAACAAGCCGGCTTGTTTGGCTTCTTTTTTTAACCGGAGTAGTATTTTTTCTCTCACAATATTCTAGTATAAACAATGTTTTCCAGCATGAACGGTGAAAATTCAGTCCAGCACGAACAGGCTTGTGCAGTGTGGTAGTAGACTAGACAGTTGTTAAGGGACACAGACGCATCCGCCATTGACAATCCATGAATAGTCCACATCGATGAACTTTTGGGTGTCGATGTCGTCTTCGAATTCTTCTCTTTTTGCGACACTTTCGCCTTGTTTAGTTCCACTCCAATTTCCAAAAAGTTGCTACAGTACTTGTCAAATCGAATGTTTGCGGCCTGTGTATGGAGCATTAAATGTAGACGAAAAGAAAAACTAATTGCACAGTTTGGTGGGAAATTGCGAGACGAACGTTTTGAACCTAATTAGTCCATGTTTGAACACTATTTGCTAAATAAAAACGAAGGTCCTACAGTAGCCCTAAAATCCAAATTTCGCGAACTAAACGAGGGCTTTCTTGGTTTGGTCTGTACATGCAAATGCATGTCGCTGTGTCGGGAAAGGACTTGTCAGCGTGTACTTCCAACTGTTATGGACCCTTGTTCGATTTTTAGGGGTCATATCTTTTTATAGGGTAGAAGAAAAGAAATGTAAAAAGTTCGAAAACCTGCTGCAGTTGTATTTTGGTACATACTACCTTTGTCTTAGAAAGAATACAACTATGGTGACGTGCCAGTTAAAATACTTTATATTTGACCGAATTTCTAGTAAATAGTATTCACATTTATGGCTCCAGATTATTTTATTATAAAAATACATTTCATAACTAATCTAATAATATTTATTTGATATTATAAATATTTATTTTTTATCTATAATTGGTCAAACTTACTGTACTAAGAAACATGACACTGTTCAGAATCGAGGATGGAGAGAGTATAAAGAAAGATCCATGACGGCCCACAGTGAACGCAGAGCATTGCCATTCACCAGGTTGCAAGAAGAGATGGGGCAGGATTTCATCTGAGCCGTTGGCACGTGGCGAATAAAAAGACAGGTGTTCCTTTTTCAAAAGAGAGAGAGAGAGAGACAGGTGTTTCAAAAACCAGGACCGTCTGGACCTGTTTGGTACAAAAACTTGGGCGGTTTGCCGATCCAAAAACCGGCCTGCATGTGCACAGCCCATTATAATGTCTATTGTAACAGTAACAGCAGCCCGATAGCAGCTTAGTCTGATTTCGTTGCCGGTGGACAAAGATGGAACGGCTTTCTAGCCCATGGCACTGACAAATTTGGGCCATATTGGGCTCCAGCGCCCCTTGCCACTGACAATCTTCTGAAGACCACGGCAATTCAGCACATGAGGGGAACCGGCGACGGGAACAGAGCACGACCATTGGCTCAGCTCGACGGGCTGTGGCGATGCCTGGCGCCCTCGGCGTTCTTCACGGTTGATTCGTGATCTCTTCATCGCCACTCGCTAGGGATCGATAGAGGAGGTAAGTTACATGGTGACTTGCTGAAGGCAAGTTACTGAATCTCTGTGACATAGCAAGCAGGTCATCGGTTGGATGGGTATGGCGGGAGAGAGAATCTGCCATCCGGTTGACAGTGACAAGTTGACCCGGCAATGTATGTATTGCTGTTTTTTTCTTTTCTTTTTGACATATATAAGCATGTACCTGTTGGCTGTTGCTGTTGTATAAACAACTGAGTTACTACTATCTGTAAACATTTGTGGACTGCCCATTTGGACATGCTAGAAAGTACAAGCTTAGCTTGCAGAGGGTCCAGGACATGGATCAAGTACCGTGTGTTAGTTTTGCTTGTATTGTGGTGTACAGGAAAAACAAATCTTGTATTGTGGTGTACAGGTTTGCATACAGTTATGCCTTGGCTTGTACCGTGTGTTAGTTTTGCTTGTTGGCATCCGGATGGTCCAGGACATGGATCAACATGTTTCTGAACTGTCTCCGAACCATGCTATTGTACTGCGTATAATGATGCTTACAGATGCAGTGCTAGACAAATAGGAAGGTTCTCTTACTGCACTTGTAGCTGCATGCTGTTGTCTTCTACTGAAAATACCTGTTTATTTACATTGCTAGAGTATATTCTCCAGTTAATCCAATGATTGCCAACTGTCTAGATTTCAACTTGAAATTTGGCTTCTAGTGTTTTTGACCATGCAGATGTGTTATTATAATTTCATTGTATTGACCATGCAGATGAAGACTCAGAATCTCACTGAAGGGAGACCATGTAGATGAAGACTCAGATGACTGAAGGGAATCTTGCGAAGAGTTGAGACATCTTTGGTGCCTGTGTTCCATCTGCTTCATTAAGTTATTATAGTCATTAGATTAGATTCTTAGATGATGTTATCATGGCTGTTTACTGTCTTGCTGATGGAACCTTGAAACATGAGTCAGTAACACTGATGGGTAAACAAAGTGGTAGTGTTTTTTATGTACTCCAAAAATAATGTAGAAATGCAAACAAAGTATGTCCTATTACTGGTCTAAATGTATGATTACAAATAAGGTGATAATATTTTTGGGTCGGCCTCATAGTACCCATTGGGCCAGCGAGGCCAAAGGCTTTTTCATATTTGGGTCGGCCCACAAGGCCAGGTCCAAGGCTAGGTCCGGGCCGACCCATTCCCATCCTGAGTTGTCACACGCTTTTTCGTAGATGACCTACTGAAGACCCGTCTATTTTATAGAAAGTATCTGCTGCTAGTCCGCCACACTGTGTAAGCATTGTTCATTAAGATCAACCAAACTCTTTTGGTCAGAGAAAATGGTGAGCTCAGCCAATTGCAGTTGCAGATAACAAAAGTCATTGTTCGACTGCAATGAGAATAGCCCCATATTCCTTTTCATAAGTTGAGAGGTGCTGAGTCTTGGGACCCAATGCCTTGCTGATGAATGCCAACAGATCATGGTTTTGAATCAAAACAGCCCCGCACACCCAAAAATTAGATTGGAATGATCTGTGCAAGAGTACGGTGCTAATCGGGTATTATGGAAAAAGCATGGCTTTGATGGAGCTGCATTCCACGGCGTGCCCACACGATTCCTGGTCGCAGAGGCCAGAGGGTGTTGCAACTGGCAGCGGCAACTGCCCAGCCTTTGTCCCTGCCGGTAGACCTCCGTGGGCCGTAGCCTCCAGCCCACCACGCCATTCATTCTCCCCAGTACAGAGGCAAAACGCGGCTGCAAAATCATTGGGAATCTTGTTCTAAATTCTCTGTCATGAACAGCTGTCATTCCTGATTCCTGCCACTGGCCCACTGCCAGTCTGCCACTGCCAAGCGTTGTTGACTAATGCACTCAAGACAATGCTCAGGGATCACTGATCAGCTAGTCCTAGGATTCACACGGTCACAAACAAACACAGGCACCATCACTAATCAGCTAGTCCTAGGATTCACACGGCCACAACTCACAAACAAAAACAGGTATCGGTTCACACTTCCACATTGCCTCAGGTCATGGTCGACTCTGTGCTAGAGCATTTGGTCTTTCACTCTGAAATTCTCATCGAAATCCCAACAAACTGTTTGTTTTCTCTTGATCTGTACAAGAAGTCGATCACGAATTCACTTCACGATCGGAACAGCTCATCAAACTAAACACCGAGAGAGAGAGAGAAAGGGCTTCTCAAAAATTCCACACAAACTCGCAAAAAAGTTTGCACGACACTACTCTAGCAAACGGCGCATTTCACTAGCCCGTTCTCGTTGCACTCCGGGCACCGCCTGAACGCTCCTCCGCCACCGGAGCCGCCATCCTCGTCCTCCACGAACACCTTGCAGCTGCCAGAGCACCCGCCGCACGGCACGAACCGCACCCCGCCACAGCCAGCACAGCAGGCGTCCTGCGCGCCGGCGGCTCCCTTGGTGGCGCACGGCGGCGCCGCGTCGCAGGCACCGAGGGCCGACGCCAGCTCCCCGGTCTCGTGCAGGCGGCGGACCTCCTCGGCGCCGCCCAGGTACCGGCCGTCCGCGAACACCTGCGGCAGGCGGCGGCCTCCGTCGCCGTCGCCGAGCGCGGCGCGGAGCTCGTCTTTGAACCCCGCGTGCATGGACAGGTCGCGCTCGTCGACGCGCACGCCGTAGCTGCGCAGGATCGCGCTCGTGGACCAGCAATCCTCGTACGTCTGCCGGATCCCGCGGAGGCTCGTGAGGTACACGACGACTCGGCCCGCGCTCTCCGGCGGCGATGTGTTCTTGGCTAGCTTCGTCTTGGCGTTGATCTTTTCCTGGAACACGTCGACCCGCGCCCGCACGATGCCCGGGAACGTCTGAATTTCGGCGCGCTTCTCGACGTCATTACTGCCTCCGTCGTCGCGTTTGACGAAATCAGCAGGAAGAGGCGGCGAGTCAGGTGTTGTCGTCAGGTCGTCGAGCGCCTTCCGGAACGCGTCCAGGAGTTCCGGGTCGAACACCGGGGGGGACCCGGGCGCCGACCGCGCCTTCTTCCGCTCAACGCCGGCGTGGACGACGCAGCCGTCGTCGTCCGTCTCTTCATCCTCGTCGTCGTCGTCGAGCCCCTTCATGAGCTCCCACACGTTGATCTCCTCGGGGTCGCGCACCGGCGTCTTGTTCGGCGTCCGTGGCGGCGCGACAACAACCCTCGCCGCCGCCACCCTCTTCTGCCGCTTCGGCCGCAGCGGCACCGCCACGGGCGGTGGCGTCGTCGGGCACCAACACCTGCCGAAAGATCGCGACGGCCCGAGCAGCTTCGTCCCTGCGCCGCCATCGACGTCGTTGCCGGCTTTCATCATCCCTCGTCACCTCCTCCTGCGGCGGCGTCGAAAGAAAGGGCGCTCGCTGCCGCGACGGCCGCCGCGGCGCGGTCGAGGCTGAGCGTCCCGAGCGTGGACGACCGCAGCGCGACGGAGTGCCGCGGCGGCGGCGCCTGCAGGCGGCCCGATGAGCGCCTCTGCTGATGCGGCTCCGGCGGTCGCGCAGCCGGCAGCCCACTGCAGCCCCCATGCAGCGCGTGCTTCGACCACTTGCAGCCCATCCTCGGCGGCGGGGAATGAAGGGAAGGGAAAGGAGCAGCGCGATCGAGAACCTGGCGCTGCCGTTCTACTGCGGAGTCCGTAGTAGGAGGAGGAAACGGCTAGAAGCCGAACCTCTCGATCTCTCTCGGCGCGCGGGGGTCAAACGGCTGGAAAACTTGAGTGGGAAGCGGAGCGCGTGGAGAGGCAAACGGTTCGGGCGTTCGGCAGCGGCGTGGTCCGCGGTGGGAGCCAGAGCCCGGGTTGCAGGTTGGAAGGGAACGCATAAGAAAGGGCGGGAGAGGCAGGTGCGTGCTCGCGCTCGGGGTCGCGGGTGCGGACTGCGGACGCCGTGCCGCCCGTGCCGTGCAAACGAGCGTAACGAAACCATTTGCCCGGACGGCGTACTAGAACGTACGTGCGCCGTGGCCGTGGAATTCTGCATCGTCCGCGTCGGGTCAGGCTCAGGCGGGCGCTGAAACCATGCATGTGCCTGCTCATCCTCTGGGGGCTGTACTGCACGGCGCGGCGCATTCCCTCCCTCCCACCCTGTGTGCCGCAGCGTCAGTAGCAGCCGGTCCGGCAGGGCCACGCACGGGGCGGTTCGGTAGCAGTTGCTGCGGCGGCGGATGATATCTTGTCATCATCAGGGAGTAATAATAATAACGAAAAGGAAGGCCTGGGATTTGGACGCGGAAAGGTTTCGGCATCGACGACGACCCGTTCCTGCGTCGCAATTTCTCGTGAGCTGTGTGACTAATCCGTTGGAGATTGGGAGTTGCCACCGTATGGACATGGACTCTAATTTTCCTTCTGTTTAAATTGCGTGGTCAGGTGACGACCACTGCCCATGATTGAACGATGGACGTGGCATGCATGCATGTTGATGAGATTCAGCGGACATTCGGCAATGTGTTCATTTCAAGTTTTGAACTGGCTAACGGTTTACCTGGATCTTTGGCTTTATTGGTTACGAACTTAACGACAACCCTTCTGCTGATCAGTAGTTTCCGACGCTGACGAATTCCGCGCAGAGCGCAGCGCAAGACACAGAACAAACTAAGCATGCTGGTTCGTTTCGTTGTTGGTACATAAAAAAATACTATTAACTGATTTGTGTGAGAGAAAAATACTATTCTAACTAAAAATTTACGATCATTTACGATAAACCAACCACACGGCCACAGCCAAATGAACGTGCTGTCATTCCGGCAGTAAAAGCATTGGATGTGACAGTTGATCCCTGACAAGTGCACAGCGCCTGTTGGTACGAGTACTAGCACTAGCACGTTCCGTCAGCATCCGGCGTCGATCGAGATTTACCTGAAATCCGGCAAAAAAATGAGACTTTTCAGCTTTATAAAAGCCATTATAAAAGATCCTACTTCTTCTCTCTTATTGCTTCTTTGGAAAAATTAGATCGCTTACTTGTTTTTGGGTCCTCCATGCCACTTCCGTCGATTCGGGCTCTAGCAGTCAAACTCAAACTACAAATATGTTATTAAATTTTTTGAGCATCTTAACGACTTCAAATGAAAAACTGTCATTCCGGCATTTTCATTTAATTCCAGCATTGGATGTTTTCTAAGATATATTAATCATATCAAATCATAGTTTTTTTTACAGCGCCTGTTGGTACGAGTACTAGCACTAGCACGTTCCGTCAGCATCCGGCGTCGATCGAGATTTACCTGAAATCCGGCAAAAAAGTCACACTGGAACCCTTTATTACAAATATAAAAAAAGAAAGCTACTACTACTGCTCGACGACAACTTTTGTCTAAAGCTGGATCAATGCCGTTCCGTGCACAGCGTTGGCCGATCTGTTTTTCACTTCGAACGCATCGACAGCGATGGAAGGATGCGAGCAGGCGCCTACGATCCGGCTTCATCCACAAGACCCATCTTCGGTCTGTGTGTTTTTTGTTGTTGTTGTTTTAGCAAACATGACTCATCGTCGGTCTTTCTCGTATCTGCCAGTGACTGGTCCACCTCTTGCTTTACCTTGAAACGCCTCTTGTTGCTTTTGCGTTAGTTGCCCTGCACGCATCTTATCTTAAACCATGATTAGCTTTACTCATAAACTTCATGATTTATTATTTCTGATAATTGAGGGCCAACACAGGGGGCGCGATAGGCAGTGAAGGTTTGCACGATGCTTTGTCTGGAAGGTTGACACCGGGGAGATGCATGTCTTAGCTAAGCTTAGGACGGCCAACTACCAGCTAGTCTCATATCATGATGATATCAAGTGGTGTAAAATACACAGCGTTTTGTTAACAAAGCCAAATACAGCTCTCTCTCTTTTTTTGTCAGCCCCAGTTCAGTTGGATTGCTCTCTGTCTCTGAGGAACCTTTCCGGTCTGAGATAGATTAAGATATATAGTTGCACCAACTAACGTGTGTTCCATTGTCAAAAAGGAGATAATCATACGGAGCACTGGTGACATCATCCGTTCAGTAGGTTAACCCTCTCCTCTAGTCACGGAAACGAACGGCAAAACGGAAAACAACAGGACATGCTTCCGTTCCAATTTTTAAGTGGTATGACAGAAGTACAGTACAAAGCTTGACTGCAACGCTTTGCACTAGCACATGACAATATATATGACATGGCTCCACTCCACTGCTCTGCTAATCCACATCTTAAACCTCGCAGAAAGTGTTTTTGGTACATTTTCCTAACCAATCGTGTCAATCATCGTGTGCCCGTGAATCGGATTATAGCGAGGTTAGTTATTTGACTTTTTGGTTGAAGTAGAAGAGTAGATATACGAGATAGGATAGAGAAACCAGGAAAGAATGGAACCGACGGGAAAGGGAGTCGGCGCTGGTGCGGGAGTGCCGGACGTACGACCGGGTTATTTGGGTTTGGTGGCTGCTGGCACGGTCTGTCTCGGCGCTGTCGATAGGCGACGGGTGCTGCAGGTCCGCACGCACGTTCAGCGCTTTTCCTCGGTGTTGCATGCATCGGGTCGGGTCATCCGAGCTTGACGTCTCATGCCTGACACCTACTCCACTGTAGATTTGCAGTCACAACGGGTCGGTCTTTGCAGGAGTTGCGGCGGTGAAGTGTCGTCGAACGCACACTTCGAAGTCAAATTTCTCCGTTCCTAAAGTCAAGTGATAGTGGGCCGCTATCAGATTCGCATCCCCCATCTTGCAGTGGGCTTCTTGTTTCGTTGTGGTAGACTGGTAGCGCAGGTGTGCCGCCGGATCGTGTTTGGTCTCACAGCGAGTTTAGTCATTTGACTTTTTGGCGAGTACTTATATACAGATATACTCCTGTCCTAAAACAAGTGCTAATTTGGCACAGCTCTCGGAGCGGCTTCTAGGCTAAATCTAGGAGAAGTTCTGTCAAATAGTTTTTTTTTTCATGAGAAGTGATTATTTGCTGATTCTGTAAAGTCATAGAAGGCTGAGAGCTAAAAAAAAAAAGTAGCTTCTCTTTATTCACTCTACGTATTTAATAACTATATGCATAGAGTTTATCCTATAGAAATATAAAGAATCAATTTGAGTCAGAGAATCAGATTCCACAAACAATCTAGAGCAGAGGAGCTCTGCCAAACTGGTCCTAAGTCTCCAACTCTCCATTTCGTATTCTGATGAGTCAATCGATTTTAACTTTGACTAGATTTATAGAAAAAATAGTATCAATATTTGTATCTCTAGATAGCTTTATTATAAAAAATATATGTTGTGATCAATTTCATGATGCTTATATGGTATCACAAATATTAATATTTTAATATATTTGGTCAAAGTTTGGATTGTCTGACTCCTCGAAACATGAGTTGGAGACTTATTCTGGGACGAAAGGAGTAGATAGATAAAATAGAGAAATTATTGAAAAGAATGTATGAGCTCCTCTTTATGAAGAGTTAGCTTATCACTATCTTTTTTTATTAAATAAAATATTCTATAAGCTACTTAACACATTGTTGAAGCCGTCTTTACTGGTCTATTGCTTTCACTGCCATGGCGCACACACCGAAGGCTACTTTTTGTCTGTTTTTCTTAAAAAAGGGGCATATTGATGATATTCGTGAGCCTATTTCTGGTCTTACTTTTTGAAAACAATATTATTTTTGGTGCTATTACTCCTACTTGTGTGACGATCAGATTGCATTTTTACCTAATTCAGGAGGCTGCATATATTAATGAATGGTTATACAATGGTGGTCTTTATGACCTAATTGTTCTATTGCAGCAGTTGTTTCTGTTTAGACAGTGACTTGAGAGAATCAGGCACAACAATAACGGGAAAAGCTGCAAGCTGCTAAATAGACCCTATACTTTTTACTTGATTACTTAGACCTTGTTTGAATGCACTTGTATCTATCTCAATTTGTGTGTTGGAAGTGATCCAATTCAACATATGTGAATTAATATGGTGTCGGGTTCATAAACCCGGGGTCCCTCGGGGACCGGCTTCGACGCCCGGGCTCGGCCCAGGAGAACAGCCTGTAGCTCATGGGCCGGCCCAAAAAGTCTAAAAACCAACGGGCCGGAGGGACAGACCGGTCGCCGACCGGAAGGTCCACCGAAAGAACGAACGCCTGCTCGACAACTTCTTGTGCCCACCTCTCCGACCGGAGCGCTCGCCTCGGGCGCCGGCCGCCTCCGGGCGGACTCTCCGATCGGAAGACCTGGCCCAAAACGCTGCTTCCTACTCCGACCCCGCGTCTCCGATTGGAGACTCGTAGGAAGCCTGCTTACCGCTCTTCTCCGACTGGCACGGTCAGTACCGACTAGAGCCATCCGACCGGGGATTCCCGCTCAGAAGGGACCAGGGGCGAACGGAGAAAGCAACGCACAAAGTCAAAACACGGTACCAAGACCATACCCTGTACGCCTGCGGGAACAGTGCTCCACAACCGACCTGACACAAACAGTATGGGAGGTACCGACATTTGTGTCTACAGTATTGTAGGCACCGTTGGGGCTCCCTTATGGCAAAAAGGCACCCCACATGCCTCTGGGCATCGATAGTGGGCACCAGGATTCACCATACCTGGTA